TACTAGATAGCTGCAAATTATTAACTCTTCGCTATCAACTAATAGTCTTATGGATTTTGAGACTCGTGCATGTTGTTAGTAAATACATATACATAAAACAAGAAGAAAATTGTGATTGTATTGATTTACAGCTTGAGTGTTAAAACCAAGTGTTTGATAGGATACAAAGAAGTTTAAGAAAAATTATAAAGATATGACTATGTACAAAGAAAGATATTGCTCTTTACTTTTTATTACTTTTTATAACATTTCAAAATGAAATATGAATGGGTATACTTCCAGGTTAAGAAAAGCTACCATATATTCTTTTCTAAATGTCCTTTTCTGTGCCTAAATATCTACAACATATTTATTGATACCTTCCCAATATTGCTACTGTTTCTAGAATACCAGCCTGTAAGGAGCACACACTTTTTAAAAGATGAAATCCAAAAGTGATATAAAATTAAGAGTAAACAAAATTAGTGAAGACAGTGGGAAACCTTTGAAGATGTTCAGAATTTCATAATTTGTCATTTATTCAAAAGTTCATGCTGCAGTATTTGTATTAATTCTCAAGACACTGCAAACTTTTTGTCCCTGGTTAATACAGGTTGTCTCTGGCACTTCAAGGACAGGCTAGGTAATCAAATAGTGTTTTTTTAATCCTGAATTATTCAAATGGAAAATAAATGATAGTTCTTACTGGGCCTTTGTGTGTGTTTCTGTAATACTAACTTACAGCATCATTCAGGCATTGCCATGATGGTATGTAACCTGTCTGCATTAGCAATTTATCACCACAGCAATGTCTGGGTGATGTTGTAAATTGCTGGTTTCCTCTGTGTAATCATTTGGACCATTTCTTAAGTTGCTTTACTTTTCTTGGAAAGATCCTTATGCATCATAGAATAGTATGTTCCAGTAGAGGGAACGTAGAGATAGTGCTCTCTATATATCTTGCATGTTACAAAGTATAATTTATCTCAAAATTTGCTTTTATTCTGAATTTGTATAGGGACATAAAATGAGCAAGCCAAATTATTTTTATTTTGAAGCATGGCAAGTCTGTTTATTTTTAGAACACTCTTATTGAGGAAAGAATTTCAGGCTGCCCTTATCTCTGCTAATAATAGTGACTTGCTCAATTTATATAGCTACCGAATTACCACTCCACCCTCTTCTTTAGTCAGGCTACGTCTTAATTGCAGATTTTCTAGTTCATAGTTGACTTGGTTTTTAAAATGGTTTTTTAGTTGACTTGGTTTTTAAAATGTGACATTCTCAATTAAATAATGAAATGATTTTTTTAAGCTGGGATGCTAAACTCTGCAGCCTATTTATTTACTTCTTCCTTTTAGAATATAATGATTCTTTGAATTCACAAATATTATCTTAGTGTTTTTTATATATATATAAATCTGATACTAGAAGGAAATGTATGCTTGGAAATCTATACGTATACTTGAATGTGTATGTGTCTCCAAGTGTGTGCCTTTTTCTTTGTTACTTTATGGAATACAACCATGGGCGATGTCTATGAAATCTCCATCTTGGCTTAGATGTTTTAAAAATAATTATTATTAATTGCTAAATTTTGTGTTGATTTCCACCCTCCTACCCCAAAACAGTTGTTTCAAAAATACTGGATTGGAAGCTAATAAACTGCACGTTTATGTGGAAATTCTAGTGGAGATAGGGAAATATTATTATTAGTCTAAAAATATAAGGAATAGATAAATAATTTTTAAAAGGAAGATGGGCAAGCAGTAATGTTCCTAAGGAAAAAAGGAAATAACCCATGATAAATTTTAAATCAATTGCTTAACAAGTGTATCGTGATGCAGTAATATATTATATTGCTGAAATGGATAAGGCTTTCAGATACATTATCTGGAATTGCAGTCTTAATATAATTTGTATTTATTTTTTATATTTATATTCTATTGTACCAGGAGCTCAAGGCAGAGTAAATAGCAAAACTACTTAAGGAATATTGGACTGAGAGTGACTATTCCAAATCACCCAGGGTGGTTCTATAATGAAGTGAACTTGAACCTTGGTTTCTTCGGACATAAAGACCAATCAAATCTGGCTTTCTGATCCTACAGGATAGACTTTGAAATGAACATAAGTAGTCCTCAACTTACAACCACAATTGAGCTCAAAATTTCTGTTGTTAAGTGAGACCTTTGTTAAATGAGTTTTGCACCTTTTTACAACCTTTCCTGCCACAGTTGTTAAGTGAATCATCACATCATTGTTAAATTAGTAACAAAATTGTTAAGTGAATCTGTCTTCTCATTGAATTTGCTTATCAGAAGGTCACAAAACGTGATCATATGACCATGGGATATTGTAACCGTCATAAATATGAACCAGTTGCCAAGCATCTAAATTTTGAAAAACAGTCATAAGTCACTTTTTTCAGTGCTGTTGTAACTTTGAATGGTCACTGAATGAAAGGTTGTACGACGAGGACTATCTGTATTGATGCTGAATTATTATGAAGTAGTTTGGATTTAGTTCAACTTGATTCATTTTCTGAATCTTCTGTTATCCCCCCCCCTCATTTAGTTTGCTCTAAAAACTAAATATTTTAAATGTATATTTAGAAAAGATTATTCTTTGCTAAAGGTCAAATAAACATCTACAGGACAATCACATATGATTGCAGTCTAATCTGTATACTCTTACTTGGAAGTGAGTTCCCTGCAATTATTTAGAATTACTTCTAAATAAACATACTGTAAGAATTTTGATTTTCTTTCTTTCTTAATTGTGCATATTAAACGCAAACTGAAACATGCCATCCTTTTGTTTCAAAACTCGTTAAATAGAAAGTTTTGCAACAAATAGCAAATGGATGAGAGAAAGCTTTTAATACAACTCAATTAAATAATGAAATGCTGTTTAATAATTTTATGCAGCAAGTGGCCTGTTGAAAGACTAGTGGACAGAAATAGGCACCTGTATAAAAATCTTGATGATTTTGAATTACAGCTCCTATCAGGTTGAGCTAGCACAACAAATTTTGATCAGGGACAGAGGGAATTATAATACAAAATGTTATTGAACAAGGTCGGCAAAGCAAGGCATCCCTAATTAATGCAAATAATTATTTGAAAATAGCATTCACAAAAGAAGAAATGATGAAAGCTTTCTCCTCTCATTATTTGTGATCTTGAGAGTGGTGATAACCAGATTGCTGCAGGATACTGTCCTTCCCAACTTTTTTTTAAAATTAGAATCAAAGTCGTAAGTATTAAAGTAGTTTTAGAAGTCAGCGTGTGGCAAATCTTTTTGGGCATTCTGCCTTAGCTCTTAACAATGTCATGCCACCAGCTACATGTCCTTTATCTCATTTATACAGAGAGGCAAACTGGTACAGTTGTCATTGCTAGTAAGTGAACTGACAAAAATGGCTTCTTTTTGGTGCTATATGATATATATTGCTGTTTAAAACTTATGAATTCTATAATGCCCTTGATGTAAGAAAAGGCATTTCAACTCAAACTTAATTTATATTTTTGTTACCACTTTCATCAATGTTGTAAAAGTTATTATTAGACAAATTTATCCATAACCACTATCTTAACTATTGGTTTTGGAATAATGTAACTTCCATAAAGGTAAATTACAAAGCTTTGGAATAAACTACATGTTTTATTTACGTCACAATGCAATTCCATATGTACCAACTCAAGAATACAGTAAGTTCCATTAACTCCAATTGTTTTGGTAGGATTTCATAGCCTTGCAGAGATTACAGTCTTTAAAATATTGACAGGAAACACAGTCTTGCAAAACGCAGGGAACTTTTTTCTGGGTAGAGACTGTAGTGTTAATGCAGTACTAAGCAACATGATGGCCTACTGCTCAGAAGGTTGAGAGCTCAATCCCAGGTAGCAGCAGATTTTTCTCCCAGGGCACAAAGAAAAAAATATCTGCTGCAAATTCTTTGTGGCATCAGAAATTCAGCTCCACCCAGTCGCCTTGACTCTACCCTGAATTAAGGGATTACAGAGTCATAAAAAGGGAGGTTTATTTTATTGTAGTGTTAGGACATAAGTGACGCATCTCACAAATCAGTAACTTCTTTTATGTAAGCAGTAATTAACATTCAGCTTTTTTCTTTTATTTAGTTGGAGAACACCAGCTTACTGGACATAAAGTAGCAGTGAAAATTTTAAACAGGCAAAAAATTCGTAGTTTGGATGTTGTTGGAAAGATCAAAAGAGAAATCCAAAATTTAAAACTGTTCAGGCATCCCCATATTATCAAACTGTAAGTGTACTAACTCTTATTCTCTTTGTAGCAAAATACAAAAGTGTGTAAAATATATATTTCTGTAATTGCATGTATTTTACTGTATTTCTAATATGTTTAAGAATAATATAAATTAAGTGTTGGAATCACAAAGTAAGTTGTATTGCTATTACATTGAATTTACTCCCATGTCCGTAGAATACTTGTATGGACATTCTTCCATTTGGAACTCAGTCAGCAAAATATATATTGGGATTCAGTTAACTTATTACTACCATATTAATTGTTGTTGTTAATTAAATTTATATACCGCCCATATCACAGTTTGAGATGATTCTGGACCATTATAAAATGTTCTTAAAAATATTTCAGGCTAGATTATATTTCTTGTTCTGTAACAGAAGAAAACCTTAACTATCAGTTTGATATAATATCTTATACTTTTTTGGGATAACTGGAACAAGATTGGACAGTTGCTTGATAAAAGCAAAGTAGCATGTATTGTAGGTGTTCATCTTAGATTAATGAAGTGAAAAATAGATCTTTAACTCTAGATAGACTATTTCAATTATATATTTATGTAATAAAATTTCAAGAGCAAAACTGAAATATCTTTCAATTTCATTGAATAATGCATAAAAAGGAAGTACTCCGTTTAGTCAAGCACAGTAGCTGTGTACTTCTGGAAGCAATGTCTAAAGAAAAAAAGCAAGTCTTTTTTCTCATATAGCATGGTTGAGATCTTTTGGACCTTTATTAAAATGGCCGCATTATTGTAAATACATGTATAAACATATTGTATGTTCTTATAACGATGAATATATATATAATAACTTTATATGGGTAGTCCTCAACTAACAACAATCCATTTAGTGTCCATTCAAAGCTACAATGGCACTGGAAAAAAATGAGTTATGATTGTTTTTCACACTTACAACCGTTGCAGTATCTCCACAGTCAAATGATCAAGTGACTCATATTTATGACAGTTACAGTGTCCCAGAGTCATATGATCACCTTTTGCAATCTTCTGACAAGCAAAGTCAATGGAGAAGCCAGATTCACTTAACAATTGCGTTATTAATTTAACAAATGCAGTGATTCACTTAACAATGGTGGCAAGAAAGACCATAAAATGGGGCAAAATTCACTTACTATCTCGCTTAGTAACAAAAAAATTGGGCTCAATTGTGGTTGTAAGTTGAGGACTATCTGTATTACGGATGCAGCAAGATTGTAAATTGGAATAATTATTTTTTTACATATTTTGGGACTGAATGAGAAAGCTAATGAAAACTCTACCAGTCCTGTATTGGGAGATAAAGGAACTATTCCTATTATGTAATCGTTAGACACATACTAACATATTTTGACTTTTGAATTTGATGTGTCTTAATTTTCTCTTGGTAGCAACGTTCAGAATATTAGTTCTGAGAAGATTTATTCAACAAATATCTTAGAGAAGTATAGAAGTTTAATGTAGGAGGTGGAGTAGGAGGAATGAAGATCTATCAAACAGTTTAATTGAGCAGAGTCCCAAAGGAGTTTATATTTGTACTGCAAAAAAAGGGACCAATTTGTCCTTCAGAAGTGAAAAGCAATTATATGGAAAGTAAATTCCAGTGATTTTGTTAAGGACTGCTTTAAGATTAGACAAGAGGTCTTAAGAACTTCATCTAGCAAAAACATTTAAGATGCGATTAATTTCTTGTATGTTTTCAATAGGTATCAGGTGATCAGCACCCCTACTGATTTTTTCATGGTAATGGAATATGTGTCTGGTGGAGAATTGTTTGATTATATCTGTAAAAATGGACATGTAAGTGTCTTATCCAGTTGGAATAAAAATGCATGTCATGAAAGGACAGGGGTGGGATCCAACAGGGTTAACTACCAGTTCGGTCATTTACGAGGTTTGTTGATTTACGATGTGCTTCCCTGCACGCTGCCAGCGCGCGCCTGTAAATAATCATCAGCACGCTGCGTGCAGAGAAGCAGGCTTTGAAAAAGCCCTTTTTTCCTGCTTTTTTAACTGCAGCTGTGCCTTGCACAGCAGCTGAAGTTGAAAAAATCAGGAAATAAAGGTCAGGTAAGAGCCCCGGTGGGCGGGTGGGCAAAAACATCAGCAGACATAGAACCGGTTCTATGTCTGCTGCTCTTCAGAGCTAACGGTTCTACAGAGGTGGACAGAACCGGTAGAAACCCACCCCTGTGAAAGGACAAAGAAACAATAGTGGAAAATAGAATTGATTTGCTAAATTAGATTCTTTTAAATCAGTAAGATCAACAATAGGCCAAGCCTTTTAGCCATATGTAAAATCAAATCACTGATGCATATTTCTTCTTTTAGTGTAGCTATTGGATACAATACTCCTCCCCATCTGGTACCCACCAGATGCATTGCATTTAACAATTGGATCACATTCACTTGGATGATGATGCTAAAGTCCAACACATCATATAAACTCCAAATTGGGGAAGGTTGCTATGCAGTCTTACAATTCAGCAATTTTACTAATCATGGCTCAAACCGAATATCTCTTAAATAATTGGAAATTAATATAAGCGCTAAGCAGAAGCAACCTCTCCAACACCCTGTTTTGTTTTAAATCATCTACAGCCCAGTGGTTTACTTTACATCAGTGTTTCTCAACTGTGGCCACTTTTAAAGGTCTGGACTTCAACTCCCAGAATTCCCCAGCCAGCATGGGGAATTCTGGGGGTTGAAGTCCAGACCTCTTAAAGTGGCCAGGGTTAAGAAACACTGTTTTTACATCATGCCACTGATTTCTGTTAAATATACACAGTAACCCTGATTTGGCAATAATAGTTCATCTGATTTTGTAGAAACATACAGACATAGATACAGCTGTCATTTCACACAATCTTAACATTTATTTGGTGTTGTCGAAAGATTTATAGGTATGTTTAGTTAATGATATGATTACTAGCAAATGAGCCATGTATAATACAAATAAGAATTCAGACTAAGAATATCACAAATGCTTCAGCAAAAACATGTTTTATAGACAAATAATACAATTCACAAGTACTTTATTCTTTGTATTTTTTTCTTTTACAGTTATTGATGAACGTTATAAGAGAATCTAAGTCATTTGTAAAGTAAAAGCAGATTTAAGTTTTACTGATCCAATTCATAGGTTGGATTATTAAATGTCTTTTTTGCTCTTTGTCTCCTTTTCTTTAATCTTTGGAAAATATTAGGAAAGCAAAATGCCTCCTCATGCATATTATATAAATCTAGTATAGGAGTAACATTTCCTACCATTATTTTGCATTTTTGTAGTTTAGTCTACTGTTAATAAATTGAGTCAGTGATGAATGTGTTATATAATAGTTAATTATAAAATGTAAAGTATGCAGTTATTTTGATTATTCTATCATAATCAGCTGATAAGGCTCATTAATTAATGAAGTAATTCCACTTTAGTTTTGAACTCAACTACATCATTCTCTATAAACAGACAAAGCCAAATTAGGTTGTCTTGTTGTAATTGATGACATCTTGTAGCTTGAAGTTGCAATAGTATACTTAAAGGCCTCTTATGTGAAAATTAATCCTCTCTGCAGATACATCATTTAGAAGGATTTGACTTAAACTGACCTTTGCTGACAAACCCCCCCCCAAGTTTTATGCATAATAACATTTTTTTAAAATGTGAACTCAGACACTTATAAACCAAAGTGCAATAGTCTTTTCTACTATCATAGTACTCTGTTTCTTCATCTTACTCTTCATCTATTAGTTCTACTTCAGAACACTGGAAGATGTAATTTTTTTTCACCTATAAAATGTACACAGAGCTTATTTTGAAATTTTATTTTAGTGGGGGTTTTCTTAACATAAAATGTTACAGGAATCAAGCTGTAGGAACACCAGACTTGTTCTGATGTGTGCGTTCAGGTAGTGCTGCAAAATGGATAGATCTGAATCACTCGTATGGTTCCTCCCATTTTTAAAAGGGCAGATTTTATGTCATTTTGAGGGTTTTAAAATTGTATTAGACTTAGAACTTACACTTTTTTCTTGTATTTTAAAATCAACAACTGCATCGAAGGCAGGTCCACAGCTGAAATGCAAGAATGTCTTATGCTGTCTTAAGCCTAGGAAACTGTATTTTGGTTTAATAGAAGCTACTTAAATCAAGCCAGGATAAAGCCATAGTTAGAATAAAACCCAATACCTTGGGATTAGATCTTATAAAGAATTAGGGATGGAGCAAAAGTTTGCAGTATACCCTGTGTGCTCAAAAGAATGGGACTGTAAGAATAAGGCATCAGGAAATTTGTTGTCAAACATCAAGGTCTGTTTTCAGAAATAACAATCTGGCATTTTCCTAGACTATTCCTGGGTACAATTATTCTTGAAGGGAGATTTCAGAATATGTTGGTTGCCGCTGAGAGCGGGACAGCTGTTTTAGGAAGTCCTTCACTTGTCATTACTGCTGCTTGTATATGTGCTTGGGAATGACTGGGCATGAAAGCACGTCATAGCAGCTGCTGATCCTTCTCCTTGCTAGCATCACTATTTGATCTCATGCTGCTGTGTGAGAGGATGAAGGAGCCCATAGATAGCAGCAACAGTATCAGCAAGGTAGATGCCTCTTTTGTACCGATCAGTGACGCCAGTCTTGATCTTAAAACAGATAAGATGTAAAAACACTTCCCCAGATTTGCCAACTGTGACTTATATTAGGGTCGGATAAGGAATAGGCAAAAAAAGGTTCAAGATAATTTATGAATGCCTGTAGATCTTTGGAAAATTCTTGGAGAGGATTATGCAGTAATACATCGATTCTTTTATCATCACAGTTTTAAAACCTCAGTCTAGTGTGCATCCAGATGTGTTTTATTAGATCTTTCATCCCAGCTCACAATGACTGGAATTATCAGTTCATCAATCAGTTTTATTACAGTCTCAGACCAGTATCACAAATTCATTACGTTGCTTTAGATTGTAATGAAATAAAAGATGTTCAAGCTACATAAAATTACATAAAAATAGTATCCAATATAGTTACACACAAATAAAAGATAAAGGCCCTTGGTATCTATCTTCCATGTGGCAACATTATTTGCTACTTGTAGGACACTGTTTCCATCTAATCATTTCCACTGTAAACACTCTGCAATACTTGGAGAAGAAATCTGCTTCTTTGTCTTACTGTGTTGTTTGCAGATTGTGCAATCAAATCCTGGTTATCGCCCTTGCAGAAGTGCTACCTTGTTCCTCCTGAGTATCCCCATCAGCAAATCTCTTGCTTGATTATATCCCATTCCCACTAGCATTTGGAGAATTTCTCACTTGTTCCTTCCGTTTCTAGGATTCATAGAGAATACAGTATATATACTGTTAAAAAGGCCAGACTTTGTGAGAAAAAAATATAAATTTAATCCAAAGTTAAGTATTTCCTCTAGACTGGTCTCTAAGTGAAGTGATCTGGGCCATATAGGGAAAACCCCGAGAGAACCAAGTAAGGAGAAGCTTAATTGTTTGACAGCCTTAATTTTCAGAAACTGTGCCAAAATATAACCTCTTGTTGTTTTTTCAATTTAGTGCTATTAACTGCACCGTAATTCTAAATTTGCCTTGTGGCTTATCCAAGAGAGGATTGCTGCATTGTTGAGTGACATGCAGAAAATCCTAGAGCATTTATTTGCTTTTGTTGTTGTTGTTGTTGTTGTTATTGTTGTTGTGGTTGCAGGTAGAAGAAACTGAAGCCAGGCGCCTCTTCCAGCAAATTCTGTCAGCTGTGGATTACTGCCATAGGCATATGGTGGTTCACAGAGATCTGAAACCAGAGAATGTGCTGCTGGATGCACACATGAATGCCAAGATAGCTGATTTTGGTATGTGACCCTAATAGCATTCCAAAAATGTAACTGGCTATGAGCCATTCCCTGGACTGTGTCAATGTTAACATCTTTCAGGGAACTCAGTGTTTTTTTCTATCACCATTAGAAGCTTCTGTGTTACTGTGCAGATCTTTTCCAAGGTAGTAAACTGTAGGTACAGAAACTCCGTGGCTGAATGGTTTGCATTAGAACAACAAGTTCTATTGAAACAACTAACTTAGGAATTAGATTCCAGACAGATTCCGAGCCATTTCTAGAACAACTATCTTTCTATATTATTTATTTTATGGAGAGTAATATTCAGTCATATGAACTTCACCATAGCCTAAATTGCTTTTGTTTGTAACCTCATTGGAAAATACATTGTGAATCATCAGTGATGGCAGGTGTTTCTCCTAGCGCTCTTTGCTTTCCTACCACAATGAAGAAAGTATATTTACAAAAATATCTGCTCTAGTGATAGATTTTCTGTCATAATACTGGTCTTAAGTGAGCAAAATAACTAATTGACTTTTTTTAAAAATGCAAGCTAGTATATGTACTTTTGAAATAAATAATTTCCATTTTTTTCCTCTCATCTGTTTCACTGCCCTTCAAATAGAAGCGGCAGAATTTAAAAATATGTCACTTAAACTAATGCTCATCTTCATGCTAGATAAATAAGAGTATTCCAGGTCAGGTATAAAACATAAAGTTTTATAAAACATAAAGTTTTATACCTGTTTGCCTGGACATCTTCTAGGTCTCTGTGTGCAAATTTTAACTATTGGTAGGATTAATTTGGATGCAGGAGTCTGTAGAAAAAAACGAGATTTTATATATATGAAGGAAATGTCTAGAAGAAGCTGACATCCTTGGAACAAACCATAAAGCAGTTTTATTGCTGGATGACTGTTTAGTTTGTAAGAAAAAAGTAGCATAGCACTAGGATTCATTTTTTATTATTTTATAGTTAGTAATCCTATTTTAATCTGTTCCGTTCCATTCCATTCTGTTCCATTCTCACTGTAATTTCCCAGCTTGAGTTCTACCTTTTTGCTTCATCTATATAGGTGAATATCTAAAATGTTTTCTTTTTTTAGGGCTGTCCAATATGATGTCAGATGGTGAATTCCTGAGAACCAGCTGTGGCTCACCCAACTATGCAGCACCAGAAGTAATCTCTGGAAGGTAGAAGATGAAGAAAATGATTGCATGTTGAAAATGCTTGGGGAATGAAGTGAAATGGTTATTATGTTATTAATTTATTTAGGTAATGAGAGCTACATGATTTTATTTTAGAAAAGAAACAACAGCCTAAAAAAGGGGGTGGCAGATACCATGAGTTGATCAATAGGTAGAAACATGTTGTTTCAATTGAGCTGATAAAACATGACCAAACAGATTCTTCTGTACCACATTGCTAAGTATCTACAACCTGGAATGCCAAAGAATATATTAGGAATACTTGGAGAAGGTTTGAAGAGAGATTAAAAAAGGAGAGGTATCAGCACAAAACGATCAAGAGAAGGAAGAGGAGGGTTCTATAATTTCTGGTCCTCATTTTGAGGGAAGGCAATTATTTAGCACTGCTTTCCTTTTCTTCTCCCAACGATTTAATATTACATTAAGACATAGATTAATGACATTTTTCCTTTTCTTCAGATTGTATGCTGGCCCAGAAGTTGATATCTGGAGCTGTGGTGTTATTCTTTATGCTCTCCTCTGTGGGACTCTTCCTTTTGATGATGAGCATGTTCCAACCCTGTTTAAAAAAATCCGGGGAGGCGTCTTCTACATTCCTGAATACCTCAACCGTTCAATAGCAACCCTGCTGCTGCATATGATGCAGGTTGATCCACTCAAACGAGCCACCATCAAGGACATACGGTAAGCCTGTGCCAAAACATGTCACTGATCGACATTTTTATAAAGTAAGAAAGAAGAGGATTGCCAGAAAAATGTGTTTATTGTGTAATTTTATAACTAGAAAGAGATTGGACAATCATTTCCAATCTGATTAAACGTAGACTGAAATTGTTAATTAAAATAAATTGAATTTGGAGTCTCCACAGACAGTTATGAGGAAAACCGAGATGAGATTTAAAATAATCCTGAATAATAAAATAGAATGTAAATGAAATAGCATGTAATGGAGGTACATTTTAATAAGTTGCAAAACTGTTTAGCTAAAAGAACACATAATATGAATAAGAGCCTTAATTATATCATGGTACTCTACAGCTATTATACCACTCCATGGACTCGATTTCTGTCCTTTGTTTCAGCCTTATTTCAATATCACCAGGTGTGCCACATTCCAAAATTCTGAAATCTTCATGCAATATGTGGTTTGAAGTATTAATTGTGCATGTATGTTTTATTGGGGGAATACAAGGGACCTCTTTCATAGGTCTGTCAAGTTAAAGTTCCCCTTTTTCTTGGATTCAACAGTTTCTTGCCTGAGTATATTCTACAATTATTTTTTCATATCTAGAGGTTTATCAAGAACACATGAATCAATCCTGAGGCATCATAAGCCTCTGACCATTAAAATTGAACATGTGCAAGCGTACATAATCATTATCACCATTAAGCATTTTCTCTTCCATGATTGGTTTGTTTTACAATTCCATTAATTTGATGGAAAATAAATTGTTGTTTTTTTCCTTCTTACAAAGGATAACATTTCAATAAAATCCTCAGGGAGATGGAGGGATCTTGCATTAATGTAGTTATAAGATGATTAAATGTTATTTCTTTTTTTTTTTTTTTAATATAGTCACCTTTCCAGCATTCTGCAATATTTCTGGGTTTTCATACTTCAGTTAAATTCCAGTGGGAGACCTTAGACAGAAACTTTTTCACATCAGAAAGTTTGGGCAGTGAGGAATACTGCAGAATGATTCAGAGATGTGGGATGGCCTATGTGATAATAATAAGAAAAAAATACCATGAGAATAGCACATCTGCTGCTCCCTACAATCAAGTAATCTCAAGAAGACTTTCCAATTTGCCCCCAACTGTCCTGAAAAGTTGCATAACGTAATGAAGAACATTAGGGAGTTTGAAAGAGATTTTCATACACTGTTAACAAAAGGCATTGTTCTAACTGGAGCAACATTTTAATTTTCTTCTAGAGAGCATGAATGGTTCAAGCAAGATCTGCCTAGTTATTTATTCCCGGAAGATCCATCGTATGACGCCAATGTCATGGATGATGATGCTGTGAGGGAAGTTTGTGAGAAATTTGAATGCGCCGAGTCAGAAGTGATGACCAGTTTGTACAGTGGAGATCCTCAAGACCAGCTTGCGGTAGCTTATCACCTGATCATTGACAACCGGAGAATCATGAACCAGGCCAGTGAGTTCTACCTCGCCTCCAGCCCACCCAGTGGCTCTTTTATGGATGACTCTATGCATATCCCCCCAGGGATGAAACCTCACCCAGAAAGGATGCCACCTCTAGTTGCGGATAGTCCCAAAGCAAAAAGCTCTTTGGATGCATTGAACACCACTAAGCCAAAACCGTTGACTGTGAAAAAAGCCAAGTGGCATTTAGGAATACGAAGTCAAAGCAAGCCTTATGATATCATGGCTGAAGTTTACCGGGCCATGAAACATCTGGATTTTGAGTGGAAGGTAAGAGTAGCAGTGCCGTGTGGCTCTTGAAAGTTTTTCAGATGAGTAATCTACAAATTGTATGTATTTATGTACGCTTTAATTTAAAGCATGTGAATGCTACCTTCGAATGTGTCCAGGGAGGCTTGTATCAGTTTAATTTAGTTTTATTGGTTACAGTCAAAAATCAGCTAAGGCTTATGCTCATAAAACAGATTAAATAGTATTATATTATAGATAGTCTTTGACTTACAACATTTCTTTAGTGACTGTTCAACATTAAAAAGGCTCTGGAAAAAAATGACAATTTTTCATTTATGACCGTTGCAGCATCCTATGAGTGGTGCAGTGGCCTAAAGGTGGAGCTCTCGCCTCACAATCAGGAGGCTGTGAGTTCGATCCTAGGTAGCGACAGTTTTTTTTCTCTCTGGGCACAATGAGTAAATATGAGCTGTGAACTCTGCATTAGTGGCAGGAAGGGCATCTGGCCAGCAAACACTCATCTCCATTCAGTTGCCCTGACTCCACCCTGATGGAAGGGTTTGCAGGGTCATTGAAAGACAGACCATTGCAGCATCCTCCTAATCACATGATCAAAATTTAGATGCTTGGCAACTGGCATGTACTTGTGATGGTTGCAGTATCCTTGGGTCCTGTGATCGCCTTTTGCAATCTTCTGACACGTAAAATCAGCATCAGGCAGAGATCTTTTTCAGGTTCCTGTGTGAGGACCCAGAGTGTCACACAAATGTAACAAAATCCAAAATGTAAATAAATGTCCTTTAATGCCTCCAACTTGGCCCCGCTGTTCAATAATTCTCGGTTGGAGATAAAACGTACTCAAAAATAGTCTTCAAAAGAAAGCAATACAGTCCGAATTTAATGAGCAGATAGAGGTGAAATAAAAAACCAAACAAACTACAATGATGAAATTTCCACAACGGAATAGGAGAAGTATTTACCAAATTCAAGGAGATAACAAGGCACAGTCTGTTGGAAGGATGCCAACCAAGATAATTTCAGACCAAAATAAAACACGCTTTGCTTCTGGCAACCTGTGTTTTAACTGTCTCTCTTATATACTCGTCTCCCCAGCTGCAACCAATGAGGGGGATCATGGCCGCCTCCTCTCTCGTAAGCCAAGTTGTTGCCTTCTCCATTCCTCCCTGCATGTCCTAGGATGAAGAGGGGATGGGCCTGGTTCTTCCTCTGACTGCCCAGCCGGCCTCTGCCCTTTCCCAGCCTCCTCCACAACCTCCGGAGACACACCTCCACTTCCTGTCGGCTGTTCCTCCTCTCCCTCAGAGTCCGACTCTACCAAGGGCATGACATCCTGTTTCTCCTACTTTTATTAATTTTATGATCTACAAGTAGTCCTTGATTTATGACCACAATTGAGCCAGAAATTTATGCTGTTGAATGAGACATTTGTTAAATGAATTTTGCCCCGTTTTATGACTTTTCTTGCCACAGTTGTTTACTGAATCGCTGCAGTTCTTAAATTAGTAACACAGTTCTTAAGTGAATCTGGCTTCCACATTGACTTTGCTTGTCAGAAGGTCGCCAAAGGGGATCGCATGATCCTGGGACACAGCAAAGGTCATAAATATGAGTCAGTTGCTAACTCTCTGAATTTTGACTACATGACCATGGGGATGCTGCAATGGCTGTGAGTGTGAAAAATGGTCACGTTCTAACTTTGAACAGTCACTGAACAAACTGTTGTAAGTCGAGGACTACTACCTGTATACAGATAATCCTACACTTATGACCACAATTGTGCCCAAAATTTCCATTGCTAAGCAAACAGTTGTTAAGTGAATTTTTCCCCATATCATGGGGTCTGGGGTAGTGGTGGGATTCAAATTTTTTTACTACTGGTTCTGTGGCCGTGGTTTGGTGGCCGTGGCTTGCCTTGCCTTGGTAGTCGTGGCTTGGTGGGCATGGAAGTGGAAGGATACTGCCATGCCCACCATGCTCCATTACCTAGGGAAGGATACTGCAAAATCCCCATTCCCTCCCCACCCCACTAACCTGCTTTCCAGCTCTGTTCTCCTGTGCAGGGAAACAAAAGAAGACCCAGCCAATCAGCTGGGACTCGGGAGGCAGAGAATAGATGGGTGTGGGCGGGGCCAGTTAGAGGTGGTATTTGCCAGTTCTCCGAACTACTCAAAACTTCCACTACCAGAACTGGTCAGAACCTGCTGATTACCACCTCTGGTCTGAGGTAACTCTGCACAGCTAGCTTGGTGCAGCCAGCTCACTACCAACAAATTGTTGCAGGACAACTCAATACGGTCAATTCGCTATGGAGAGAACTTGCCACCGGTAGCTGGAAGGAGAGCCAGGTGAGCAGGTAGGCAGAGTGCAGAGTGGTGGCAGTTGGAGGCATCCCATTTTCATACACCTCACTGCCATGGGCCGTTCAGCAGCAGCGGTGGTGTTTGGGCCATTCAGGGGCTGGGCGGGCAGCAGCAGAGGCTTGATGCATTCCATTTTCACAGCCCCTGCCACTGCTGCCATGGGCTATTTTGTGTTCAGGACATTTGGGTTTAGCAGTGTTGGGCAGGGCAAGCGGCAGAAGCTGGGCAGTCCCATTTTCACATGCCCCCTGCCGCCACTGTGCCAAGCCTATCTCCTGTTCTGAATAATTAAATAGATGTGATTCTTATTTAACAACCACTCATTCATTGACCATTCAAACTTGCAACAGCACTAAATGAGTAACAGCCATAGTTGATCCTCAAAATTCTGACCATCTCATCATCTCCAAAGTAAAACGATCGCAATCCGGGCACTTAACAGCTGATCCAGATTTCTAACCATCACAACTTTCTTCTGGAGAGGAGATTGCCAATCCATTCACTAGCATTTGTGTTCCCCTGCCTGATAAACATAATGGAAAAGAATCCCTTTTCTATAATTTTTATATATCTTCATTGAAAACTACTGATGAAGAATCAGGCCGTTTATATGTTGAAAATTATATATACCATGTATCAAGCGGGAATAAAGCTCAAAGCATCACTTAAATTTATTATCTAATTGATTAAAATCTCATGAACAGAGAGCCCAAAAGAGGTAGTATATTTCTTAATCCTTATTCATCCTTTCTCCCCTGTATTATAATATTTATTAGAATGCACAGGCTACATCCAATAATATTTTACATTTTGGTATGCAGTTTTTCTTCCTAGCAAGCTAAGTCTTAGAATCCATAATCTGTTCAGGAAAGTTTAACTTTTTATTTATTCTCCCTCCCTCCCTCTCTTCTGCCCCCCACCCCAAATCTATCTATATCTCTATCAGATTTCTAAGTCACCTAGCTCCCAATAACTTTTATCTCAATGCAGGGTAACATGTTCCTGTATGAACAAAGCTATAATTAAGCAAGCTGCTTGGAGAATTTTCACATAGAATAAATGCCTTATCTTTCTCAATCAACTTTCATTGTCTCTAATCTATACTAGCAATGCCTAAAACAGAAAATGTTAGTGATAAGAAACCGAATGAGAATTCTGTGAAGACACTTTCATAAACATCTCTAGAGAAATGTTATTTGATAGTTTTTTTGCAGAATTGTAGAAAACCCTACTCATATTTTTTCTCAAACTGCAATACTGAAATTAAACTAGTTAAGATGTATTTTTTTCAGTTTCCTGAAAGCTTTATCCCACTGAACTGAACTGGATTTATTACAGCAGAGAAATGTCTGAGATTACATTCCCTTGTTTTATGCAAAATTATTTTTTTGAAATATGAAATTAAAATTCTTTTTCCTTTTCCATAATTATATTTTTCTCAAATGATAATTGTGTGTTTTAGGTGGTGAATGCCTATCACCTTCGGGTGCGTAGAAAGAATCCAGTTACAGGAAATTATGTGAAAATGAGTTTGCAGCTATATCAGGTGGACAATCGCAGCTATCTGTTGGACTTTAAAAGCATCGATGGTATGTAGGAAATACTGCAGAAATACTCCCAAGCTTGAAAGAATACTGAAAAAAAAAAAACCCAAACAGCTCCATCTTCTTTTTCCTCCTTCCCCATCACACTTTATATCTACTTTATGATTCTACTAGTCAGAACAGTTGTTGTTTAGCAACACTTCTTCAGTCCATTTGTCATCACTTAGTGTTAACTGTGACAGATTAATGACACATGTGGGTAAAAAGAAAGAATTCTGCTTCTTGCAAGATTCACAATAATCCCTCAGCAGGAAATATTCTTGCAAGCCTTTTCTGATCACAGACCATTTCTGAACTGCTAATAGCATTTTCTCCACAAGTGATGAATTTCCTCCCCACTACACCCCCACATGATTCCAGTATTCTTATTTCTACAAGTTGAAACTGTATCATTAGTATCACTTTCAGTTCATTATCTCCAAAAACCACCCCAATTCCTTGGTTTTCTTTTTACCCCTTTGTGATTTCCCCGCTTTTCTTGGATGTCTAAATTCTAGATGCTAAAAGGGATTAGAGAAACGTATATGCATGCAGTTTGTTCATAAATGGTTTTATAAAAGATTGATATACTGCTTTCCCAGATGTGTAAACTAGTGATCAAAATTTATAAAAATTCAGTCTAGTTTCAGTACTATTGATACATTAAAGGTTTAGGAAAATCACAACCTTAAACGAGTTAACTCAGTATTTTTCAAATTTGTCAACCAGGCAACCCAGCATGCTGGCTGGTGAATTCTGGGAATTCAAGCCCACACATCTTAAAGCTGCCTAGCTTGAAAGAAACTGATTTATCTAACAGTGACACTTTCTGAACTTAATGGAACATGCATATATGAATTTATTCTTAGACATGTAACATTTTGCTTGAGACCAAAGGGACTGAAGTTGAGATAGCTGTCAGTAGTTTTGAAGACAGCTACAAGCCATTTAGCATAAAGGGAAAGGAAAGGGTTGGGTTCGGTAAAAATCTAGAATAGCGAAGAGCATAAAAGTGGTATAATTATGGTGAAATGTTTGAAGAAAAGCATGACCTGAAAGAAATAAGTGTAGCAAACAGTTAAAAACCTTGTTCTCATGTTACTTCTGTAGAATAGAAATTATGGCAGAACTGCTTCTTCTTCTCCTAAGAAGATCTCAGAAATCTAGGACTTACGGAGAGGTTTGGGGAATTACATGAGACTATTGACACATGGTCCGAGAAGTTTGGAGATTGCGTAGGAGACCGCTTGTAGAAGCAGCTTCCCTTTCATGAAAAGGGAGAGGAGGAAGAAGGTGATGATGGAGGGTAATGAGAAGGAAGAGGAGGTATAAAGTAAGAGGATGAGTTTACCTCAGTCTGTTATTCAAACTAGCCTTTGTTAGGTGAGTTGTCCACCATCCTAAAAGCTAAGCCAGGAGTAAAACAAAAGAGTAGAGGGAAACTTTAGCCTCCTGCCAGGTCAAGAAGTTGCTTTAAATAATTTCTCTGTATTTTCAAGATGATGTCGTGGAACAAAGATCGGGTTCTTCTACACCTCAACGCTCAAGCTCAGCAGCTCGTTTGCACAGACCAAGACTAAGTCTTGACTCCGCCACTGTTGATTGCCAGTCACTTCCCGGATCCCCTACTGGCTCTTTGACTGGGAGCATGTCCTCTATGACACCACGCCTCGGGAGCCATACACTGGATTTCTTTGAAATGTGTGCCAGTCTCATTATGGCTCTGGCTGGCTGACAGGTGTAATTCAGAGGCTTGATTTCAGTGGGTGAGCGTAGGCCTTGGTAAGCCCTGTCCTCAAGGCTGAGTCAGGGGTGCATGGCACGTGGCAAAGAAAGCCTAATTTTGAACATACAAATATCAGATGCTGTACCCAGAAATTACTTTGTATATTTAGGAGAGAAGAGAAAGGTGTTCGGTTTAGGTAAGTCTATTTGCAGATTTTGCTGTATTTTTGCCAGGAATATGGGATTGTTGGTGTTATTTCATAGGTATGGTAGAAATGATGAGAGTGGACTTAGTGCTTAACAGAGGTGAAGACTAGGGACTTCAGCCAACTGCTGGCAGCTATTGGACTCTACTAGCTGCCACTCAAAATCAGATGCTGCACTGCTGCCAAAAATCTGAAAAACTCTACAGTTGAAGAATCCATAACATTCATGCCATGTTGAATGAACAGTGCAATAATATTCCTGAAAACTTGACCATCAAATGGCTTTTTTTAAAAAAAAAACTTACTTTAGAAAACAAAAGCAATAGAATCCTAGATAGAATTAATTTAGATTTATACTCATAGAAGAAAAATTTGTGTCTGCTGTTCTTCCACGTATTATAACACGCAAAAATCACCCATAGGGTAGGATTATAGCTCAGTGAGAAATGCAATTTTGAATTCTTTTTATATATATCATGTTTTAATTAATTATAATTTAGACCTAGATATTTAAGTTTGGAAATATATTATGACAGGCCTTTTGCCCAAGCTTCATATATTTCTTCTTCTTCTATGGAAATGCTTTTGGAATGCTTGATAGTCAATACTGCTTTTATATCCCACTCATGGATTCATCTGAAATAATTATTGCAGTCTACCTCCTAAACAGTGTAGAACAGGATTCAAGACTTACTGATTCGAGAGCAGAGATCTAGAATTAAGCACCTAGAGCATCAGAGATCTCCAAATTTGAGGTAGATGATTCTTGTGCAAAGCAATTCTTGTGACATTGTGGTAAAATTAAATAAAGCAACTCCTTTTATTAGAGGTAGCAAGTGATAAATAATGCAGAGACATCTCTTATTTCAGTTATTAGGCAGTTAGTAACTCTGATGTCAACACATTTTTATTAAATTTTTGTTGCTGCTGGATTGTACATTATACCTATTTTTCACCCCAATAGAAAAATGTCCTCAGAGATGAATCGGACTAAATGATTCAATGTGTAAAGTCTCCCAAACCTAGATGTTGGCAACCATTCAAATTCAGAAATCACTTTAATACAATTCTTTTGAGTGGTGGATGGTAGTCGCGGTTACCTATTATTATTTTTTTTGCAAGCTATCCAGCAGCAACATTTCTCCAGTTTTAATTAAAGTTTTTTTTATTAAGGAGTTTCCGTTTTCATTGAAGGAATTCTTTTCACTGCAGCCTTTCATAACTACTTTGCCCTTTCTGCTGTTCATCATCCAGCGTTTGTTAGACTCAGACCACCTACTAGATCTCATAAACAAAATTTGCACTCTGCTTTTTATCTCATTATTAGTTCTCCCATCAATCATTTCAGGGCGTTTTGCATGAAATATATCAAAATGCTGGGCTTGCATATTTAAATTAGCAATATTTATTAACCTCATAGCAGCAACAGATCAAAACATCTATAGCCACAATATAAAATTCAGAATTGTGGGGAAAGGAAGGGAAAAAAATATTTTCCTTCAGGAGTGAGTTCTTTTGATAATGTTCTTTTTCAGAAAAAAAGGCTAATAAACTGATAAAGCAAGGTAATTGCAGGCGAGCCACGCTTTTCAGAGAAGAGAGAGTAGCAGAGAACATTAGCAGCAGTCAAGAAAAGGCTCAAGTGAATAAAAAGGCACTCAAGTTTTTCTTGCTTCAAAAACTAATCAGTTTTTAAATGCTTGTGTAGCTATAGTGGTCTGTAACAATGTTTGCTAGGTGCTGGTTTTAGTCAGGCTTTGAGGAAAAAAAGTTTACTGACACACACAGCATATTTCATTCACTTGTAGGGTAATCTTGTACGGCGGTGGGCCTCAAACTTTTGAGCACCAGGGACCGGTTCTATGGAGAGAGGATTTTCCATGGACCAGAGGGGGTGTGGTTTTGCATGCTGCCTGTATACTGCAGAAGGGGCGTTGCTTGTTTGCGCAGGCTGGTTGCTGGCATGCCACGTACTAGTGCCAGTCCATGGACCAGGAGTTGGGGACCCCTGCTGTACGTGTCTGCTCAGAAAATAAGTCCCACTGGCTTTGGGTAACTTAGGTTTAAGTAAGAACATAGAGCATTGCTATCCAAAATATTTAATCTATCCTTTAGAAAAAAAAAGATAGGGGAGTCTATTCGTTTTAGTTTTAAACATTGATCCAAAAGGAGCATCTTTGGCACTGCCACAGAAGCCAGCTGTGGAAGTGGATGGATTTGAGATCTTTCACAGACAAGGATATTTCCCAGTTCACCCTTTGGTCAAATCAACAATCTCTTTCAATTACTAATGCCCATTTTTGTTGTTTTTTAATCTTCATTTCTGATTTCTCACTTCCAGATCATTAGGGACATTCTAACACAGGCAAAAAAAAAATGATACGCATCTTGATATTCGTGTTGGCTCTAGTATCCTTTCATCCCCAGAATCTGAGAATAATTTATGGAGCCAAAAGTTGTGCAACAGGGAGATGAAGTAAATAGTGCCAATAAATGACTGTGAATATTTTTTCAGCAAGTCACTGTGCATAATCAGTCCAGAGTGGTCTTGGGTGATGACATGCCCCATCATGAATGCATAACATTGATGTTTCTTTACCATGATAAACAGAAAACGTGACATTTTGACGTGTGTCATTTTTATTAATCACAAAAAACATCTTTTTAAGTCTACAAATAGAGCAGTTTAAAGTCACGGCATTATCTTAATATCTGTCATAAGGGAGTCACATGTAACTGTTGCACTGAGATTGTCCCCAGTACATTTTTAAAAGTAACAGATTAATGGGCATTTTCTATACAATCACTAATTACCTTGAAACATAACGAGTTTGTTGAATTCTAGATTTCAGATAACGCTGTTTTGTGAGTAAAGCTTTGTCATTTTCCCCTTCAATAGGAAAACATGTTTGCCTTTTTAGTACTGACACCATCCTTTTGCAATACTATTTCATGAGAACTAGAATATGAATTTGACAATGTTGTTCCAGACCTTAGGGCTTTTGTGTACTTCTAAAGCTTAACTGCCTGTGACTTTGTTGAGGTACAGATAAAGCAGGAATGACTTACGTTTAGTGTTCGTTTTCTTTAGGCTACTTCAAGAAATAGAATAGAATTCTTTATTGGCCAAGTGTGATTGGGCACACAAGGAATTTGTCTTGGTGCAAATGCTCTCAGTATACATATAAGAAAAGACACAGGGCATCATGTTTACTAAATGTGTAGTAACAAAGCATTTTATTATTGGAAATGGTAGTATTCTTTGAACATGAGGATGAAAGCACACTTTGTAGATGCTGCAGTACATTGTTTCAGAGTTTTTATTTAGGCTCGGTTCTTATTTTAATTTTACGATAGCTATTTGTAATAATTATTAATACTTCATACTAATAATACTTGATATCAATAAGTTGATAAATTGAAGTGGAATTAAAATAACAGGCTAAAATCTAATAGGTATAAACTATGATGGAGTCAAAACATTATTTTAGACAAAATGGGGAAATAATTTTAGCCAAATTACTTTGCATGGAACCAAATAATTCAAAAACTGAAATGTTCTCATTTTTTGATATGGCATCTCAACAGTCACTTATCTGAAAATGATTGTTGAGGTGCCCATGTTTTCCCCCCTCTTTTTATTGGAGGATATTGTTTTACATGATTTCCTTCATTTAATTAACTTTGATACAATTAAAGGAATAGCAAGTACAGTCACTGTTTTGCTGAATATGGATGTATGTACAGATTGGCCTTGACTTACGACCACAATTGACTCCAAACTTTCCGTTGCTTAGCAAGACAGTGGTTAAGTGAATTTTGACCCCTTTTACGACCATTCTTGCACAGTTGTTAAGTCAGTCACAGCAGTTGCTAAGATAGTAACAAGATTGTTAAATGAATCTGGCTTCCCCATTGACTTTGATTGTCAGGAGGTCACAAAAGATGATCACGGGACATTGCAACTGTCATAAATATGAGTCAGTGGCCAAGCATCTAACCTTTGATCATGTGACCATGGAGGGTGCTGCAACAGTCATAAATGTGAAAAATGGTCTTAAGCCACTTTTTTCACTGCCGTTGTAACTTTGAACAGTCACTAAATGATCTGTTGTAAGTTGAGGACTACCTGTAACATGAAAGGCTGTGTAAACGGGCCTCTGAGTATGAAGTATGGATTTAGAGTTTCAGGAATGTTGTCTGACCATGCTTCTTGTTCTTACATAAACATATATGTATGCAGCCTCTCCTGTTGTCAACACTTAATTCAGAGAAACCCATACCTAGGATTACTGGAGCTAGAATACAAAGCTCTCTGGCATGGCAGCAAAAAGCATCTTCTTGTATCTGTTTGCAGCCCAGATATGGGAAGCCATAGGGGAACCCAAGCTTTCCTTTTAATCGCAGGTCATATTTCAATCTGGCACTCTTCATTTGTGTGGAGACAGAAACTCTCAGAATTCCCAACTAGCAAGGTCAAAGGCCAGGTTAGTTGGAAATTGCTGTCTAGCGCTAGGTAGGTCTACAACAGAGGTAGGGAACTATGGCCCCTGTATGACTCCCAGAATTCCTGAGTCAGCCTGGGAGCTGAAGTCCACAAGTATGGATCGGTTGAGGTAGGGTTGTGGTTGAGGGTTAAAGCTGAGTTGCGGGTTGTGTGACTTACTTTTGATACAGTCAGCATGGTAGTCAATGTACAGGCCCTTCTCTCCATTGTCTAGACGTTTTTTGAGTTCAGTGCGGAGTACATGGGAGCGGGCACGTTGCTGTATGGTTAGGTCAGGGCGACAACGGAGGTTCTTATGGTTGGTGTTGGTTTTGGCGAGTGAATTTATAGTGTAAATGATCTTGTTGATTACCCAAGCTCTGTAAAGGACCTTGGAATACTCACCTCCAATGATCTAAGTGCTAGAGCCCACTGCAACTACATAGCCAAAAAGGCATTAAGAGTTGTTAACCTAATCCTACGTAGCTTTTTCTCTGGTAATATCACACTACTAACCAGAGCATACAAAACATTTGCTAGACCAATACTCGAATACAGCTCATCAGTCTGGAACCCACATTACGTATCTGATATTAGCACAATTGAGAAAGTCCAGAAATATTTCACAAGAAGAGTTCTCCACTCCTCTACTCGTTGTAGAATACCTTATGCCACCAGACTTGAAATTCTAGAACTAGAAAACCTTGAATTACGCCGTCTTCGGTCTGATTTAAGCATGGTATATAAAATCATACATTGCAATGTCCTACCTGTCAGTGAATACTTCAGCTTCAACCATAACAACATAAGAGCACACAATAGATACAAACTCAAAGTTAATCGCACCAAACTTGATTGCAGGAAATACGACTTCACCAATAGAGTGGTCAATGTCTGG